GGGCAACAAATGTACAAATGTGCTTTACACAATTGATGTATGTATGGATTGTGATAAGAGTTGTATGAGCCCCAATAAAATGATTGGGGGGGGAAAAAAAAGAAGTAAATGGCCCTAAACTCTACTGCTCTAGATGTCTGCTAGTACTGTCTCAATCCCTTACACACACACACACACACACACACACACACACACGCTATGACACCTCAGTGAAAATGCCGCTGCCACTTCTGAAAACCCCTCACCCAGAGAATTTGCTGAGGACAGCCCAGTTCTGGTCCTGGTCTTGGGGCGCCTGCCCTGGACAGCCGCAGACAGCAGCCCTGCACCCAAGCCAGCAGGCATCCAGATAGGCATGCTCCTTCTCCAGGGACTACTTGCCATAGCCCCTCTGGCCAGGGAGGGGCGTGATAGGGGGAGCTGGGGATTGATGGCAGTAAGTTTGGTTTTGAGCATTCTGGTCAAGCAGAGAGGGCGCTTGGGTGGTGGGGAAGGAGAAGGAGAAGGGAGAGGAGAGGTCTAGGGGAAGGGGCGGGGCCGGTGCGGGGGACGGTGGGGCAAGGGGCGGAGTCTGTGCCGGCAGGGATGTGCCGGGAGCGGGGACGGGCGGGGAAGGGGCGGAGTCGGCGCCGGCTGAGGGCGGGGACGTCCGGGGAAGGGGCGGAGTCGGCGCCGGCGGGGGCGCAGACTGGCGGTGAGGGCGCCGGAGAGCCGCCGGCCGCCTTCGCCTCAGCCGGACTCGGGTCCCCTCCGGCCCCGCCATGGCGCTGCTCTCGCCGGTCCGTGTGCAGGAGCTCTTGCAGGTGAGGCGGGTAACGTGGGGACCGCGGAGTCCGGGCGGGGACCGCGCCCTGGGCTGAGGCCGAGCGAGGGGCGCCTGGACTTAACTTGCCCTCGGCGGAGAGAGCCGTGAGGTCCGGCGGCCGAGCTGCCCCTAAAGTTTCTAGTGCGAACAGCCAATAGCAAGCCAGTGATCGAAACCGGTGGGAGTCCGGAGAATTTTGCACATGGGGTGACATTTCCACTGAACCCCGGAGTCCGTTCCCACGGTCCCTGGCGATTTTGGAGGCTGTGGGTCTTGCAGGGAGTATCGTCTTCCTCGGTTCCGCCCGCCCACCTTTCGCTTAGCGGCCATGGGCTTACCTCACTATCCGCCAGGGCTTGGATTGTGTTCGCAAAGTTGGTCTTTTCTCTAAAGAACTCCTTGTGTGCACTGTTTAAATTGTGTTTGGTAAGTTTGTGCGTTCTGTACAGAACTACTTGTGTACTAATAAAAGCCGGTGAAATATAAGCCGTCCCACGACTTTGACTCAATTAGGACTGAAAGCGACCAGATAGGAGAGAGAGCTGCTCCTAGTCCTGGTGGTATAGTGGTTATGTGTTTGGTTGTAGTGTGCAAGGTCAGCAGTTCAAGCCACCAGCCAGCTCTCAGGGAGAAAAAAAACCGGGCTTTCTACTCCCTGAAAGAGTTACAGCCAGGTTTCAAGTAGAAAGGAAATGTTTTGAGAACGATGATGGCAACAAATGTACAAATGTGCTTGACACCATGAATGGATGGATAGGTTGTGATAAGAGTTGTACGAGCCCCCAATAAAATGATTTTTTTTTTAAAAGAGTAACAGTCTTCGAAACTCCCAGTGGCAGCTCTACTCTGCCCTGTAGGGTAGTGACCTATGAGCCAGCATCAACTCAATGGAAGTGAGTTTGGGTTTGGGGAAGGGCTCCCCAAGTTGTCAGAATTTCAGGGAGCAGACTGCCTCATCTCTCCACTGCTGCTTTCCAACTGCTGACCTTGATGCTACCAGCTTAACCCCATGCACCACTAGGGCTACTTACATTTCAACATGTTGCCAGGATGAAAAGAACTTCCCCTAAATTCTTACGCCTCATTTTATTGACATGGCCGTGGAAAAGAGCCCGAACAGAGTCTGTTGTTTTTAGCGACCCTTCAGTTGATTGGAGTGGGTATGCTTTGGGCTACCATCCGTGTGGTTGGCAGTTCGAAACCACCAGCAGCTCCATGGGAAAAGACTGGGGTTTCTTCTCCCATGAGTAGTGATAGTCTGGGAAACCCACAGCAGGTCCCTTTGACGTGTTGGTAGTGAGTCCGGTTTGAACTCATAACCCCCCACGCACAACACAATGACACAGTGCCCTGTCCTGGACCATCCCCACGATTGCTGTGTGTGAGCCCCTTGTTGCAACCATGGTGTCAAGCCATCGTGTTGAGGACTTTTTGCTTTTCTACTGACCTTGTACTGTACCACACACGATGATGTTCGTTTCCAGGGGCCAGTCCCTCCTAAGAGCATGTCCAGAGCACATGAGACAAATGTAACGCCACCTCCATTTATCAGGACCATCTGACTGCACTTCTTCCAGCATAGTTTTTTGTTCCTTTGTCAGGCAGTCCACGGTATAGTCCATATTCTTCACCGACACCGTAGTTCAAATAGTAGTTTCTTGGTTCTTCCTTATTCGTTGTCCGGCGTTTGCATGAAAAATACCATGCATTGGGTCAGGGACACTTTACTCTTCAAAGCCACCACCTTGCTGCTTCACACTGGCAAGAGGTCTTATGCAGCAGATTTGTCCAAGGGAAACCATGATTTGGTATCTTGACAACTTCAATCTTTTTTTTTTAACAGTCTTATTAGTCCTTCATCCACACATCCACATGGCACATAATTCAATAATCCTGTCTTATCAAGAAGAGTTGTACAGTTATCATCACATTCAGTTCTAGAGCATATTCTTCCGTGTACTCATTGCTCAACCTCAGTCTTTTCT